TCGAATGTGGTCATTTTTGCTAAAGTGGTCACCAACGCCACTCATTCGGTCTATCGATGGCCTCTGTAGCACTGTCGTGCAAACGGGGGAACGATATTCGTACTTGACTGGTAAGCGGGTGAGTGGTGTGAGATGTCAGATCCGAGCGATCGATAAACACCGTCACACGGACGCACCTGTGTGAATGAATGAATGATACCGTCACTTGGCCTAGAGCACCGATGAAATTAGACAGGTCACATGCCAAAGGTCATCGTTACCCCAGTCTAAGGAGAGCTTGTGTGATGCACTTTTAGCTTATGAATCTCCTGTGCTGCTCCTCTGACAACACTTAGCATCAGTTTCGGAACCTGACCTTCTCCGGTGTCGGCCCGAAAATAGCACGACCGATCGGGTTCATTTGTCGATCAGTCGGATAATTCAGCCGCAACAAGGGACCTGGTGCTTGCCCAGCTAACCCGAGCGAGAAACCACACCTCGTTTACAGCCTCGAGTCTCAGGCAGGCCCAGTGAACTTCGACTGTACAACAGGCGTGCCTTCGCCACACGGATGGACTAGACGTGACGACAAGAGCATCGCAAAATCCAAAATCCTACTATCAACATAGCAACATGGCATCTCAAAGTGATACTCGGACATATTAAATTGAAAAACGTATGGTTAACAAATAACAAATTTTCACAGACTTTGTTAAAGGTTTTGGGATTTTACTTTCTCCTCCATTTATCCAGCTTGTACCTTTTTAACTGAAATGTAGGTTTTATACCTACAGCAGTTATCACAATAACAATAACAATAGCTTGACTTGAGCCCGAACCCATGAGGGACCTGTTTGCTAGTGTTTCGTCGTCACCCCGTGTCTTGGTCGTATTGTCGCCCTACCGTCGATCCCCGACGTCGTCTGTCACCCGCAAAGCCTAGTATCGTGTTGAGCTGTGAGAATACAAGCCAAGGAACATCCTGTCACACATTTATGTTCACTCTGCTGCGCTGCGAGATCCCGGAGTATGTTTGCATTGCAACCTTACGTTTTTTCATTTGGGTTAGAACCCAAAAATGAGCCAACGATGACTGTGAATAAACCTTCCAAACGGTCATTATATAGTATTCATCATAAAAAAAAATAATCCCGAAAGGGAGGAAGTGTAACGCAGCCAATAGACGTGACAACAAGAGCATCACAAGACAATGTGAAACGACGTGACAACTGCACTACCCTACCCTCCACATAGTAACATGACATCTTAAATTGATACTCAGATATCTTAAATTGAAAAAGTTATAGTACACGTAGATTACCGAACTCGTATTCTATTCTCCTCAACTTTGGGGTTCGTTTTTGTCGCATCACTCTGTCGCTTTACGTCAATCCGGTACACTATCCTTTCATTGTATCCTTGTACCATTGTTAAGTATCTTATAAAGTGTGGTTTTCAATGCCAGAAATAAGTAGGCAATTGCATTTAGCTGAAAGGAATCGGTGTTATTCGAGAGAACCTCTGTCTCGATGGGATATTTGAAAACGATTGTGAACAACAAGAAACTATGTGCCCAAAAGCGTCTTATCCAAGCTCTGCATCTCCCCTGGGTTCGCGAATCTACCCCTCCCCCTGCCCACAGACACTTTTTCACACAACAACACTAATCCCTCAGAACTGGGTCACACGACCGTCGTAAAATAACTGGAAACCCCGGAAGCACAGATTTGACAATGCGTTATTCAACATACTCGCATACGTGAAATGAACGATTTCTCACATTTGATTGTTCTCCTCTCAACCACTACATTTTCCCCCTCATATAAACTGTAACGCCATGATTTTGAGTTATTGAAAATAATGGTTAGCCTGAACTTGTCTTCTAAATGAGAGTAAGGGCATATTTCTCACCCATTTCAGGGGAAAACCCTTCCACTATTGTTTTTTCTCTCTCATTTATTACAATATGGAATTTATTATAATGTCTTTTCTTGTTGTTCGCAATTGTTTTTATATGTCCACTGTAAAAAATCGTAAATTGCGGAAAATTCACCTTTTGGGTAAATAATGAGTTCCTTGACTTGATTCCACTTGACTTGTCGCAAACCGCTAAGATAAAAGCAGTCCAGGTTATCTGTGAAAAATGCACAATTTTTCTACAATTTTCTACACCGGTTCAGAGTGGAATAAATATAATCCAAAACACACCAGTGACTACAGAGCAGCTGAAGAATCATGTGCGTAAGCGTTTCTCTTCAATCACCCAGCTCAGCTCAGTTCAGAGTGGAAAAATGTCACCGCCTTTCACCTTTGTGGTGGATAACTCTTTTATAACACCCTTTGTTTCATTGACTAAACTATAGGGATTGAATGGATGCAATCAGGATGTGAAAAGTTGCGGCGGTTTGATCAGTGAAACGATATAGATAAGAACACATGCGATGAAGCTGAGTAACAAAGGCAGAAGCTGCAGGTGAAACATTGTGATTTCTCTTAGTTAGTGAATAGGTTTGCACTTGATCTTAGTATTCAGGTAAAATACTGTTAATTCCTTCACTGTATCCTTGTATCATTGTGAAGTATATTCACAAGTGTGCTTTTCAATATCAGGAATGCGCAGGCAATCGCATTTGATTCAAAGGAAACGGTGTTAGTTGAGGGAATCACGGCCTCACTGGAATTTACTCATTGGGTTATTGAGGGTCACCGGGTTGGCGCACACTCGGCCGACGATAACTGACCTAACGTCCCAGATTGGGTCGGGGCGGGGGACGAACAGTCTAACCAACCCCACGGAAACTTTCAACCTAGCTTGGCAACTCACTCAAAAAAGTACTTTCGTTTGTTTTCGGAGAAGTTAGTTCATTCGGACTGGAAGGGGTTTGGACAGACCGGGTCCCATCGGTGACGTTTGACGGCCGAAACACCAATCATCTTGTGGGGTTCCCCGTGGAACTCAATTGGTTGGCCCCACTTGCAGTTGAAAAGGTATAGATTATTAAGGGCATAAGCTGAAACCACACGTGCAATGATTCATTCCGACATTCACGTGTGAACATGGTGACCGATTTATCGATCCGTTTGGACTTGATTCACTTCCTTACTCGGCGGACTGAGGCCAATTACTACCGAGGTTTGTTCATTCTCGTCTGAAGTGCACACGATCAACGGTCAACGGGCATAACGTGCCCGGGGTGTATGGAGTGGGTTGAGGGACGAACAGTAAAAACCCATCCCACCCCACTGAAACCTTCATCCTTTCCGGGTATGTAGAATTCGGTTCACACCTAGTGGACGTGGTTTTGATAGACCCGATCCAATCGGTGACATGTGACAACACAGGAACCAATCACTTTGTTGGGTTCCTGCTAGAATATGGTTTGTCGGATTCACTTGAAGTTAAAAAGTGTAGATCCTATACGGAGGCCGGCTTTGTTTCAACGCGGAAAGACCCTGAGAATACAGCTGGTCTCTCAGTCGGAGGAGGAACGTGTGATCAGTTGGCTAATGAGGTGCGGTGAATGGAATGGGATCCAACCACAGTATTTCGTCCTTAATTCGTTGTGATGGTTTCTCAAACAAACTTGAAATGGTAGACATGTCACAAAACATAGAAGGCCAGGGCACTGATACTCGGGACATGCCTACGATGGAACCGTTTGTGTGTGAAGTTTGGGAATAAACTTAACAACTGAAAAAGTTTCCAACGTCACTAGTGTCGACTTTATTGTTCACTATTTAGATAATACAGAGTGATTACATCTTACATCCTCATGGCAAATGATCAAGGCGCTTCGGCCTTTGTGACACACGTTGTTATGATCGTACATTCACCGACAATAATTTCCTTAGATATCGTCCCTGCTCTTGATATATCACATTTGTGCACACACCCTGGTGCACAAAGTTGGAAACTCAATTTTCACTCACGACTTACCCTGATAAGTGGTCTTTGCGACCGACACGCTTTTTCCAGTATATTTCACCTCTTTTTCAATGAACAGTTATTTGGTTACATTTGCTCCAGCCTGTACGTTGGGGTGTTGACATTAGGGTGATCACCTACATATTCTACGTTTGTTAGACCGTTGTTTTCAGCAAGCTGAATCTTGTTGCAAGGTCCGGCAATAGAGCGGAGTTTAACTGTTCTATATTGGTAATAATCTAACTGTGCCAGAACAGCTCTCGTATTTAACTATAGGTAAAATTTAGGTTAGCAATGAAACATTTTCGAACGTAAGCAACTAACCTCAGTTACTTAATGCAGTATTCAGGACACTTTTAATCGCTTATAGGTTCCGCATTCATGGTAAGTAGCTTACATTATAGGTATGCAATAGCTTGGGGAAATTGCCGGAACAAGACCTACATATGTACCTTTCTTTTCTATCCACTTTATGCGTTGAAATGCTGGAACTTCGACGCGGTGGGATTTTGGTGACTCTGATTTCTCTCAATCGTTTCACATCACAACTGAGAATCGATTCGGAAATCATTTTCAATGTGCTTGCGGTGATTTTCGGAAGCACAGACAAACGTATTTCCAGATTCGCGTCAAGCCCGGATCCGTTGATCAGTTCGGTCAAAGTTTCCTCACTCTCTTGACCGTCGATGATCATGTCTACAATTGAATCACTGGACGAAGATAAAGGCATGAATGATTGCACGATTTGGATCGCCTCTCTCCGTGCTTCCTTGTACGTTTCAACCAGATTGTGAACAGATGTATCACTTTGTAATTTCTCAGAGAGAAAATCGAAATCATTTACGTTGCCGTCTATAATTTTGGATAGAATTTTCCGTAAATTCTGTCTCGATCCCATTAGGGAAGCCAAATATCGAAATGCATGCGGAGGCGCGCGTAGGGTGTAGAAAAACGCATTACGTGTAGACCGCGATCCAAGCACTTGGGTTAGTGTGGTCAGTGCGATCGGGTCACGTCCGAGCGCCTCAGAGATCAACTGATAGACCTGGTCCAGGGATCCGATTCGAGAAATCAATTCGGCCAGGAATGCACCGAATTGCGTGTCGGTCAATGCATCTGATCGTTTTTCTTTTGGTTCATCCCGTCCCTTGAAATCGAGAGTGAGAATTTCTTGTGCTGATTTCTGTTCTTGTATTGTTTGCTTTCGGAGACGTCGAAGAATCACATCTCTTCTCTGTTCGTGTGATTCCAGTCGGGGTCGTTTTTGTTGCTGTTGTTTCTGCGCAGTAGTCCAAATATTGGTCGTCTCTTTCGGGGTTATCGTTTGTAAGCCTGAAACGGTAATTTGAGTTTCATTATTCTTAGGTGAAAGCCAGTGGAAAGAACACAATGCGGATACATATACACCCAGTAGAAGAGTTCAGTTATTTTTGATAGTCTTCTAGGCCTAATTTTTCACACAACATAAAGAATAAAATGGAGTAACGAACAACTTTAGTCTTGATAATTCCCTTCCCTGGGTGAAACATCAGTTTTCAGTGGCTACTTTAGAGTGGGTTGCAGATAAACGAGATAGACAATCGATGAATACCGTTTTGATGTACTAATCTCGGTCCGAATTAGCTTGCATATTTGGGTATTTTCAAATGTCAAATGATAGGATGAAAGCCGGATTCGTGGATCACGGCGATCTGAAGAGAATTTTGGGGATACGTTTAAAAGCAGTGCACCCATTACGGGTCCATTATTTTCTGGAGGTTGCATTTCTAACCTTTACAGATCAAAATGCGACCTGCTAGGCCGCAAGGTTGGTTCAGACAAGTCAGTTTGGTTTATCTGCCTTATCGAAAGGATAGAACAGGACATAGCGGGTGTTGAATTCATTGTGTTTCAAATTGACCAGTCGACCATTATATATATATATATATATGCGTGTGTGTGTGCTGAAAAATGACTCCAATATCATCATTCTCCCGGCAGACAAGGGCAGTGCAAATCGCACTGTTGGACAAAACAGAATATACAAAAAAGCTAAAACAATTCATCGAAGACAACGAAACTTATCAACCGGTCAAAGGGAACCCCTTAAAGCAGCTGAGGAATCAAATAACTAAATCCTTTTCCACTCTCAAGAAAAACAAAAAACTAACGGATGAAGAATATAGACGAGTCAAACCCACAGAAGGTCCGATACCACGGTTCTATCGACCACCGAAAGTGCACAAACCCGATGTACCACTACGACCCATTGTAGCATCCACAACAGCACCCAACTACAATCTTGCAAGGTACCTCTTTCAACCACTATGCCCATCCCTACCTGCAAACCAAAGTCCCACCACATTCCTGGAACGTATCAAGGGACTGACCATTGAACCAAATGAAGTGGTGGTCTCTTTCGATGTGACCTCACTGTTCACCAACATACCGAAACAAATGGCCATCGAAAGTATCCGATACTTGTTGCAAAACGACTAAAATTTGCAATTAAGAACGAAACTTTCCGTGGACGAAATGATGAAAATCGTAGAACTCTGTATGGAAACCTATTTCCAATTCGACGAGAAGGTATACCAGCAGATACGAAGAACTCCAATGAGTTCGCCACTCTCAGGGCTGCTTGCGGATGCGGTTATGAAACACTTCGAAGCCAAAGCCTTAGAAATTCTACAACCTCGTCTGTGGATACGTTATGTGGACGATACATTCGTCATACTCAGAGCCTCCAGGGTATATCAGTTTCACCAAATGACCAACGAGCAGGTGCCCGGTATCATCTTCATACAAGGGGAGGAAAAANACCAGCAGATACGAGGAATTCCAATGTGTTCGCCACTCTCACGGCTGCTTGCGGATGCGGTTATGAAACACTTCGAAGCCAAAGCATTTGAAATTCTACAACCTCGTCTGTGGATACGTTATGTGGACGATAGATTCGTCATACTCAGAGCCTCCACAGTAGATCAGTTCCACCAAATGATGAACGAGCAGGTGCCCGGTATCAACTTCACTCGATAGGAGGAAAAAGATGGTCAACTCTCCTTCCTCGACATCCTTCTCATGAGGCAACCTGACGGAAGAAACCAAGCCACGGTCTACCGAAAATCGACCACGACGGATCGCATCCTCAACTACAACAGCAATCACTCTTTGTGCCACCTAAAAGGTTGTGTGCGAACTCTATTCCGCCGAGCAAACACACACTGTAGCACATCGGAATTAAGGACAAGAGAAAGAAGTCGACTCTTTCAACTGTTCCTATCAAACGCATATACCAGGAGTTTTATCAAAGCGTGCCGCAGAGGTAACAAACAAACAACACATACAAAAGAAGGAACTTGGATAACACTACCCTACATACGCAGCACGTCAGAAGCCACTGAACGAATATTCCGACCGTTGGGAATCAAGATCGCCCATAAACCGGCAGCAACCGTGAGATCATCCCTTTTCAACCGCAAGGACCGAGTCGAATAGCACGAACGATCAGGAGTAATCTACGCCATCCCGTGCCTGGGCTGTAACCAACACTACATAAATGAGGCAGGCAAACAAGTACATACTCGCCGACACGAACACAAGCTTGCCCTCCGACGCGCTTACCTGAGGTCACAAATCTTGAACCACTGCGCACGGACAATTCACGAGATCGCAATCGATAACGCAAAGGTTGTAGCGCGAGCTAAGAAGAAGGGGGGGACGATTAATCCTCGAAGTTCTACACTCGGTCAATTCGTTCAACCGACACGTCGAGATAGACAAACATTACGTCACACTCGCAAAACCCGTGATGATTGGTGAACTGATAGACGTACAAACAGCACTCAGGCGCACGGAAAGACGGTAATCCCATTATTTCATTCATTTCATTTACGTTTGACAACGAGTCCTAGTTTGGATCGAAACGTTACAATAAACATTTTACAATTCAGTGTACGCCTCCATTCTCTATCGAGAATATATATATATACTCCCCGTACCGCTGTTCATGTAATACCCGTATGCTACCTATTTTATCCTCCTATTGTCTGACTGTTTTGTACGCCGTTTGCACATTCACACGCACCATTAGCATGTTTGCTCCCTCATACTGCCCTCTAAATTGTCGTTTTCACTTGATCTGTTCCCATGAGAGACCGATCTTGACACCTGTCCACATCAACCCACTCACCCGCGCAGGCTTGCCACACTGTCGTTTCACGGCGTCCCCTGGTAACTAACGTTCATATTCACCGCAATTCAAATGGATCCCCCGAGGTCACTCCCCACCTTTGGCAGTCACAGATGCATGTGTTCCTGTTAGTTATCTTTTAGTTTACCTCCTCCATTTTTACTGCCCAACGCGCCTGTATGCTCACAGCCTTACTCTGGTAGTACTACTGGCATCGCAGATTCCGTTAAGCCACAGTTTGAGGTTTGCATATCTTTCCCTGTGGTAATCAGTATTTCATTACCGTTTTATAGAAGAAATTGGTTTGTTGAAAGGCACTAACTTCTCGGTTTTTACGCGTCGCTCTACGTGGATAGCAGTAGCCGGTGAAGTCAAAAGGGGGATGGCATTATAGCTGAACTGTCACACTTTCCATCCAAAATTGTCGTTGACATACTCTTGGAGAGTTTTAGAGGGAGGTTGATTGCCAAGTAAAAACAACTACTTCTTCCAGTAGTGCCGCTGCCACAAATCACCAATAGTCGTCTGTTCATTGTTTCTGAGCCCATAGTTTTCAGGAATAGTCACCAATAGTCACCATTACGTTCCACACAATTGAGCTTCAGTTAGCATGTACTCTGCTCCCAGCAGAAGTCGGGTCACTGAGACATAGCGTCTTTGGTCAGCTTGTTAACTTCAACTGACAGGGCTCAAATCTGTGGCTTCGAAACGCTGTCGTTCGTATCAATCCAGCTGCAAACCGTATCACTGCGAACGGACATTTCTGATTGTTGAACACGCTGTACTTTGGTTTAATACCTAATTTGATTCACAACTGCAAGCCTTAGAGTTTTTCACTGCCGGTTACAATAATTGAACAGCTAGTTCTCGGGAATGTCGGGTTAAGCCTTTTAACTGTTCATCAAACTAAAATATGTAACGGGACCAAACATTCTAGCAGCCCTAATACATTTATGAAATGTTAACCCACCCTCCATTGGTTCTGGTGTGATAAGTTGCTCAAGACGTTCACGTTCCTCTTGCATGACATTACGTAGGAAGGTTTTCGCATCTTCTCTCCAAATATCTTCCAATCTATTTCGAAGGATGCTGGCATCCGGTAACGACGTATCACCAGCTTCGGGTTCCAAAAGGCGTGTGAACTGTGAACATTTAAGATTAGATGCGATGGTGAATTAGATAGTCGTGCTAACAAAAGGGGTCTGTCGGGTAAAGTCATGATATTTTTTCAGTTTAAGTTCAATCACATTTATAACCATATATATATCACAAGAAGTAGTATGTGAATGAATAGAAAAGAATTCCCTGGAATCACAAGATCGGTTTCGCGGTTCCTACCGCTCATCAGGCGTGCGTATCTGGTAATCTTTTGTCGCGTCATTCCTATAATTGTACCCATGATATGTATTTTCGTCGCAATAACCATTGATGCAACTCTAGGAAATTTGTCTAATCAATCACGTATTACTGATTATGAAATATTACATAAAGGTGCCTAAGCCAAGTTTGTTGCGGTTAGTAGCATCTAACCCACCTAGAAACATCGAACCATAATATTGATTCATCTATGGACTGGTTCTGAAAGAGCTGTCCAAAGGTGTTGCAAATGAGACTATTGCGACGAATGTACATACGCTGGATGACAGTAGGCAACAAGAATAACAACACTTTTGTGTTTCACTTTACTCTTTTGGATATTTTGTATGTGTTAGTTTATCGTGTTCTTTAAAAATCATGGGAGTTCAACAGGCAGGCCACGCAGCATCCAGGTAACTGACTTCCAAGTCATATTTCTTAGCGTCTATAATAAACGACAATCCTCATCCCTTGTCCCCAACCTGGAAGACAGGCTGCATCAACGAAACCTCTAGGCCATGTTATGATCTGACAGCCGCGACGTTTATTCCAGCCTTGCCCACCAAGTGCAAAAAGTGCTCAGAAAGGTAGACGATGGGCGAACAAATGCAAAACGCTACCAAGTCATCGGAGGCGGTATAGAGTGATTACTTCTTTTAGAGAATGGTTATGCGAGCCCAAAAGACGTCGACGAATCTCGTCCTTGCTCACCGGATGTTCCCACCAGACACGAGCAATACTTTGAAGACATCGGTAGTCGAATCCAGAAAGTCGATTGTCATAATCAATGCGGATGGTTCACGTCTCGCAACTGTAAAACAGAGCAGTATAAACCAAATCCTAAGGCTATACATTTATCCTAAATTCAAACACGAAGAGACATTAGTTTTGTGTATGCGTGACCATATTCAAGCATTCTTAAATGCGTTGATCTCTCCCTGTTTCTCTCTGTTATCTTCTTTCCTTATTTGCATTTGGTCAACAGTGTGCGTTGAGTTGCTGAGTACTGAATGGTATGACTATCGACAAGCCTATTCCCTCTCTCTCTCTGTCTCACCCATAAACCCGTTCTAATAATTTCCCGTATAACCTTTGTTGTGGACAAAATGGAGAAAAGTCTCGGTGATCTGTAGTACTCCAACCGGGGGTGGGGGGGGGAGAGATCGGTTCAGAATCAGTCTCGATTGTTTATCTTATTTTTGTCATTGTTAGTTCTTGGTCAGCAGAGGCATCCACGTTGTACACAGTACAGCAGGTCCAACATTGGATACACTGGACAGCGTGACAACGACTTCCGCTCATTTTTGAAGGGAATATATTGACATTTAATTGTTTTCGCAATCCCATTTGACAAAATACCGGAACGACCCGGTGGTTTCTCATCTGACTGAGACCGATCACACCACAGGTAACTGATACAGTTTTTCCTGCATAGGGATTGCATTCGACTATCGTGGTTTGTTCAATGTGGTCTCCACAACCCTGTGAAACAGAAGCAATTGATGCACACAATTAAGCTCCCTTCACGCCCACGCAGCCCCCCCCCGGTAAAACACATCTTGGTAAGTGTCAAAAGTTAGTAGTGGAGAGGAGCGGAGTTTTCACACACCAACAATATCGGATCAACAAATCCGGAGTGTGTTGCGAATAACGCAGCACCGTTTCATGATGTGGTCCGTGGGAAATGGTCCAAAGCAACCATACCGCCTAGTCGCTTAATCCGTGTTTTCGGGG